GAAACTGAATGTGGAGTAGAGGAGGGGCTGTGTCTTCAGGGAGACTCCTGGATTGGGGGAGGAAAGGAAGAGAACAGCATCCTTTCCCCACACCACTCCAGGCTTCTCCTGATGGAGTGTGGTCAAGTGTGACACCAAGTAAGTGAGCAAGAGAGTGTTTCCTTGGCTTCTCCCTGTCCCAGTGATGGAGGGTTTCTGAGCCCATCAACTTGTGGTGAACACCTGAGAGTGTCATGCTTCTCAGAGTACTTTCACCTCAGTTACTCTCATCTGATCCTTGAGATCCCCTGTGGGAAGGAGGATGGGCCCCTTATCCTCTTTGAAGCCCAGAGACATTCCCTGACTCACACTAGATACATTTTTGACAGCACCACCTGGAGCTGGGCCCATGGGATGCAAGGTTGAGGGTGTGTTGGCTGGAGAAGATATTTTTAATTTTTTAGTTTTCTTAAATCATCCACACATGCGTGAGACCACTCCTGGCTAAAGATACTTGTCATAATGAGCTTCAATGACGTGAGATGTGGTTTACTTTGATTTTGCAGGCAGCAAAATCTCTCTTTAGGATCTCAGTTTCCATCCTAGAGATATCTGTGTTTTAGTAAGTAAACTTCTGAGAATTTTTGCTGCTGTCTCCATGCCTTTGACCCATGCAAATTAGTCTCCAAGACTAAGCACCCTTTAGGGAAGACCCTCATGAGCACAATTAAGTGTTCTGGAATTCCCATTCTTCTCAGTGTTACCCATAATTAGTTATGATCCACACAGTGAAATTAGGAACCTGTACAAGAGACCAGGAGGCTGTCATCGAACAGAACAAGGGGATATTGCATGGTTTAAAATCAGGAAGGGAGTGCATCAGGGTTGAATTTTTTCACCATACTTATTCAACCTGTATGTTGAGCAAATAATCCGAGAAGCTGGACTATATGAAGAAGAGCATGGCATCAGGATTGGAGGAAGACTCTTTAACAACCTGCCACATGCAGATGACACAACTTTCCTTGCTGAAAGTGAAGATGACTTGAGGCACTTACTGGTGAAGATAAACTGCTACAGTCTGCAGCATGGATTACATCTCAATGTAAAGAAAACGAAAATCCTCACAACTGGACCAATAAGTTGTTATGTGCTGTTGAGTTGGACCCGACTCATAACGACCCCTCCTTGGGTTTCCGAGGCAGTATCACTATGGAAGTAGATTGCCCAACCTTCCTTCCGAGGAGTGGCTGGTGGGTTTGAACCGCCAGCCTTCTGGTTAGCAGTCAAGTGCCTTAGGCACTATGCTACCAGAGCTCCTGGACCAATAAGTAGCATCACGATAAATGGAGAAAAGATTAAGTTGTCAAAGATTTCATATTACTTGGTTCCACAATCAACACCAATGGCAGCAGCAGTCAGGAAATCAGACGTTGTATTGCACTGGGCAACTCTGCTTGCAAATGACCTCCTTAAAGTGCTGAAGAGCAAAGATGTCCCTTTGAAGACTAAGGTGTGCCTAACCCAAGCCATGGTATTTTCAGTTGCCTCATATGCACGTGAAAGCTGGACAATGAATAAGGAAGACTGAAGAAGAGTTGATGCTTTAGAGTTGTGGTGTTGGTGAAGAATACTGAAAGTCCCCTGGACTGTCAGAAAAACTAACGGATTGTCCTGGAATAAGTGCAGCCAGAATGCTCCTTGGAAACAAGAATGGCCAGACTTTGACTCACCTACTTTGGTCATGATATCAGAAAGGACAATTCCCTGGAGAAGAATATCATGCTTGGTAAAGTGGAGGGTCAATGAAAGAGGGGAAGGCCCTCAATGAGATGGACTGACACAGTGGCTGCAATGATGGGCTCAGGTATAGCAAGGATTGTGAGGCTCGCACAGGACCGGGCAGTGTTTTGTTCTGTTGTGCATAGGGTCACTATGAGTTGGAGCCAACTTGACGGCACCTAACAACAACAACAATGACAACAAGGAAGACCCTACTTCTGAACTTGATTCTTTCTACACGGATCATGTTTTCTAACCCATGGCCATTTCCATTCCTCTTAAGGCTGCATTTTAGTGCCTCATGTCTCTGGACCTTTGATCCTTTCACTCCAGCACCTTTCTCTCCTACATGGAGCCATCACCCCTGCAGCCTCAGCTTTACCCGCTCCCCAGCCCTCACCCCCTCATGTCATCCAGTGTGTACTTGCAGCAAGACGAAGTGATGGAGGTTCTTTCTGGCAGAGGCACAGAGAGAAAGCAGCTGTCTCAGGAAGAAGTGACAGCTCTGCAGTTTTCCTCTGTTTTTTTTTTTTGTGGGAAAGGGTGGGCAGCTGGGAAGAGCCAGGCTGGGAGGAAGGGTAAGAGGGAAGGTCAGGAGGCCAGGATCCTTGCCAAGCTGGGCAGAGGGAAGGGGCAGACAGCTTCACTCTAAGCAACTAGACAGCAGCAGGGAAACAATTCCTGGAAATTTACTCTTTCTTCTCCCTTCCCCCACCCTTTTTTTTGCAAAAATGTAAACAAGACATTGTGATCAACAATCACGGAGGAAGGAAGGTATTAGGGAGGAGGTATTGAGAGACACAGATAAAGGCAGGCAGCTTTCCAGGGTCAAGTAGGGGCACAGGGCGTGGGCCTGGACACTGGAGGAAGAAGCTAGGAGGCAGGCTGTCCCAGGAATTCCCCCACTTGGCCTGTGCCCTGATCTAGCAGGGCAGGTGGGTGGTGGGCAGGTCTAGGTTGAAGAATGTGGTGACAATATCCCAACCTCAGCCTGAGTTTCCAAAAGGTCACTGCATGCAAAAGCTAGGTCCAGCTGCAGACAGGCCACTCTGTGCTCCTTCATGGCTGCCCCACACCAGACAGGCAGCTTTGCCTGGCCAGCAGCCCCAGATGAGGATCTCCCCAGACCCTCTAAAGAGGGGTTTAGTCCTGAGCCCCTATTTTTGGCTTTCTCTGCTCTGCTCTTCCCTGCTTTCTCCCCTTCATTGAGACACAGTGCAGATAACACCAGTGTGGGGATCAGACCTGGCTTGGACACCTGCTCCACCACTCAGTAGCTATGTCATCTTGGGCAAGCGACTTAACCTTTCTGAGCCACAGTGTCTGTATATGTAAAGCAAGGAGAATGATGCTTCCCTTACAGGGCTATTGTATGGGATCCATCACTACCAATTGAATTGACTCCAACTAATGACTACTCTATGTGTTTCAGAGTAGAGTAAGAAATACATGAGGTAATATATGTAAAGTGCTTGGAACAACCTGCCTGTTTCCTTCCCAAGGGAGGGGGGCGGGGTTGAGGGGGATGGTGTCAGCAATATTAATCTAAGGAGGAGGAAGCTTGGAAAGGCTGATTGATAAGAGACTGGCTGTGACCTACATATCATTGTTGTTGTTGTTGTTATGTGCCGTGGAGTCAGACCTGACTCATTACTCCCAGGGAAACTGACACCACCCAGCAATCTCACAGCAGGCCTCTGCTCTTCCCCCTTCTCCTCTGTTTCCTGTCTGTCCTTTGGTTTCCGTTCCTTCTTCAGGTTCTCTCACTCCTCAGATCCCCAGCACCTCCCCTCATCTCTCTGGAGATGTGGTGATAGTCCCTTGCTGGACCCAGGTTTATTTACTTTCCACTAGCCTTTGCTGAGCACTAATATGTGCTGGGCAGAAATTCTCCGTGAATTCTCCAATGCTTCTTGAAGCCCTGACTCACTAAGTTTTTGCCATTTTGAGGAAAAGATATGGATTCCTAAGCCTTGGGTTTCTGAGGCGGTGTCTCTATGGAAGTAGATTGCCCAATCTTCCTTCTGAGGAGTGGCTGGTGGGTTTTGAACTGCAGCCTCCTGGTTATCAGTCTATGGATTCCTGTTTTTGTGTTGTTTTTGTTATGTGCCTTCGAGTTGGACCCGACTCATAGTGACCCCTCCTTGGGTTTCCGAGGCAGTATCACTATGGAAGTAGATTGCCCCGTCTTCCTTCCGAGGAATGGCTAGTGGGTTTGAACCACCAGCCTTCTGGCTAGCAGTCAAGTGCCTTAGGCACTATGCTACCAGAGCTCCTATGGATTCCTAGACTTCTCAAAATTTGGAGGTGAGAGGACTCTTAAGTCATCTTGGTTCTCCTCCCTTGTTAACAACAACAAAAACAGCAACAACAAAGCAAACAACCCACTGCTGTGGAGTTGATTCTGATTCACAGTGAACCTGTGTGTGCAGAGTAGAACTGTTCCATAGGGTTTTCAAGGTTATGACTTTTTGGAAGCAGATTGGTAGGCCTTTCTTCTGAGGTGTCTCTGGGCGGGTTCAAACCGCCAACATTTCAGTTAAGTAGCTGCATGATTAACCGTTTGCACCACCCTGGGACAACAAGATTAGGAAATGGAAAGCTTTAGGGAATCTCATATTGTTGGACAGTTACAGAAAGGGTGTGGGAAGGTGTTGTCTGACCTTCTCTAAGTTCACAAGGGGGAAGAAGTGTCAAGATCAGCAGCAACAGCCCAAGGCTGATTCCTATGAAGCAGAGGTGAGACCTGCTGCCACCCTCCAACCTTTTTTTTCCTTTTAACTGGTTCTGATACCAACTGCCCCTCCTATAGCACTCTCTACTTCTCTGCTGGGTTCGATAATTCATTTCAGTGGCCACACAGAACTCACAGACAATACTCATGATTATGGAGCTTAGTAGGGAAGTAACAGGTTACAGTTCAGGATCAGCAACAACTCAGGATACAGTTCTTCGATCAGGACAGCCTCCTCACAGCCATGCCCATAAGCATGCCTCTCTTTGGCCCTTGTCCCCTTGGCCTGGCCTCTGCTCTGCTCTAGTAAGTAGCTGGGAGTAGCAGGGGAGCTGTTGTATGGTGGTAAATTATAGACAATGTCATGCCCCAAAGGTCAGGAGGGGAAGGCCTTCAATGAAATGGATTGACACGGTGGTTGTGACAATGGGCTCAAGTATAGCAAGGATCATGGAGCTGATGCGGGATTGGGTGGTGTTTCATTCTGCTGTGCATGGGGTCACTATGAGTCGGAAACGACTCGATGGCACTTAACAACAACAACAACAACAAACATCTTTCTAGTATTCTTTGCCTTGAGCCAGGATCCATTTGACAGCAGCTATGATATCCCTTGTTCCACGTCCTCTTCTGAATCCAGCTTGTTGTTGTTGTTAGGTGCTGTCTAGTCGGCTTTGACTCAATTACCCTATGCACGACAGAATGAAACACTGCCCAGTCCTGTGCCAGCCTCACAAGCCTTGCTTTACCTGAGCCCATAGTTGCAGCCACTGTGTCAATCCATCTTGTTGAGGGCCATCCCTCTTCCATTGACCCTCCACTTTACCAAGTATCATATCCTTCTCCAGGGAATGGTCCCTTCTGACAACATGACCAAAGTAGGTGAAACAATGTTTGGCCAATCTCACTTCCAAGGAGCATTCTGGCTGCACTTCCTCCAGATCAGATTTGTTTGTTCTTCTAGCAGTCCATGGTACCTTCAGTATTCTTTGCCAACACCGCAACTCTAAAGCGTCAACTCTTCTTTGGTCTTCCTTATTCATTGTCCAGCTTTCACATCCATATGAGATGATTGAAAATACCATGGCTTGGGCTAGGTGCACCTTAGTCTTCAAAGAGACATCTTTGCTCTTCAGCACTTTAAGGAGGTCATTTGCATTACCCAGGGCAATATGTCATCTGATTTCTTTCCTGCTGCTTTCATGGGTGCCGATTGTGGACACAAGCAATGTGAAATCCTTGACAACTTCAATCTTTTCTCCATTTATTGTGATGCTTCTTATTGGTCTGGTTGTGAGGATTTTTGTTTTCTTTATACTGAGGTGTAATCCATACTGCAGACTATAGTCTTTAATCTTCATCACTAAGTACTTCAAGTCATTTTCACTTTTGGCAAGCAAGGTTGTGTTATTTGTGTATTGCAGGTTGTAATGAGTGTTCCTCCAATCCTGATGCCATGTTCTTCTTCATATAGTCCAGCTTCTTGGATTATTTGCTCAGCTTACAGATTGAATGAGTATGGTGAAAGGATACAACCCTTCTTGATTTAAACCATGCAGTGGGAGCTCTGGTAGCATAGTGCCTAAGGCACTTGACGGCTAACCAGAAGTCTGGCGGTTCAAACCTATCAGCCACTCCTCGGAAGAAAGGTTGGGCAATCGACTTCTGTAGTGATGCTGCTTTGGAAATCCAAGGATGGGTCACTATGAGTTGGGGCCAACTCGATGACACATAACAAGAACAACAACAACAACAGTGTCCCCTTGTTCTGTACAAATGACAGCCTCCTGGCTTACATATAGGTTCCTCATCAGTACAATTAAGTATTCTGGAATTCCCGTTCTTCTCAATGTTATCCATAATTTGTTAAGATCCACACAGTTGAATGCTTTTGCACAGTCAATAAAATACAAGTAAACATCTTTCTGGTATTCTTTGCTTTGAGCCAAGATTCATCTGCCATCAGCAATGATATTCTTTATTTCACATCCTCTTCTGAATCCAGCTTGCATTTCTGGAAGTTCTCTGTCAATATACTGCTGCAACCATTTTTGAATTATCTTCAGTAAGATTTTACTTGTGTGCTATATTAATGATATTGTTTGATAATTTTCACATTCTGTGGGATCATCTTTCTTTGGAATGGGTACAAATATAGACCTCTTCCAGTCAGTTGGCCAGGTAGCTGTTTTCCAAATCTCCTGGCATAGCTGAATGAGTGCCTCCAGCATGGCATCCATTTGTTGAAACATCTCAATAGATATTCTGACAATTCCTGGAGCCTTGTTCTTTGCCAATTCTTTCAGTGCAGCCTTGACCTCTTCCTTCAATACCATGGGTTCTTTATCATATGCCACCTTCTGAAATGGATTAGCATTTTTTTTTTTCAGTACATAACTATGTATTCCTTCCATCTTCTTTTGATGTTTCCTGCATCATTCAATATATTGCCCATAGAATTTCAATACTGCAACTCGAGGCTTGAATTTTTTCTTCAGTTCTTTCAGCTTGAGAAATGCCGAGCATATTCTTCCTTTTTGGTTTTCTAACTCCAGGTCTTTGCACATAACTAACTTTGTCTTCTTGAGCTGCTCTGTGAAATCTTCTGTTCAGCTCTTCGATCATGTAATTTCTTCCATTTGCTTCAGCTACTGCCCATTCAATGGCAAGTTTCAGAGTCTCTTCAGACATCCATTTTCATCTTTTCTTCCTTTCCTGTCACTTTAATGACCTTTTGGTTTCTTCATGGATGATGTCATCTCACCATTCCTTTGGTTTTCGGTTATTAGACCATTGCAGTAATTGCTTAATGTGGCCCTTCTAGCCATTGTCCTCCATTCTGTGATGTTTTGTAAATCCCATTATCCATGCCTGTTTGGGATGCTGTGGTAGTTAAGGTCAGGTATCAACTTGGCTGG